TTCTATTCCCCTGGGAGTCTTCGATGCCAACATTTTGAATCCCATGATTCTCTTTCCATCCTAGTTCTTTTGTCTTCATGTACATCAAATCATAACGGCCTGTTCTTTGAAATTCCATAATCTCATTACATATCTTCTCAAGATATTCCTTTTTGGCCCTGTCCGTGGCTCTTTTCAATTCATTCCTCAGTCTCCTGTATTTCCTCCTGCCTTCTTCATTGTTGACCTTCTTCCATTTCCTTCGCTCCTCCATTTTACTCATGCTTGAGCTATGGCGCATCAAAATTATTGATCCCACAGGAACTGGAACTCCGGCCTCTCGGTCGTCCAGCACGTAGCCAATCGCTATACCGACTGAGCTATCCCGGCTCCTTACAAGAAGGTAAGTTCAGGGTTATAAAAACCTTTCTTCTGTAAGATTTGAGGTTTTCACGGCGGTGACTATGAAGAATACCATCTTCTGAGATGTGGCGCCGTGTAGATATTGTGTTAACCGACGTTTCGGAGGAACGTATCGCCTCCATCTTCAGGGTATGTGAGCAGGAGTCTACAGACACCTGCTCACGCTGGTTCATCGCTCGCGGATTTCTTACATCCTGAAGATGGAGGCGATAACTTCCTGTGAAACGTCAGTTAAGACAATATCTACGCGTCGCCACATCCCAGAAGGCGGCATTCTTCACGCCCCATTTCTATTGGTTTGGAACGCATGCCATTGCTACAAAGTGGCGGGTCGGAGGGTGAAGTTAGTTGTGAGTAGGCAACATGAGCTACACAAAGCCTAGCATATCCCATAAGGGTTTCGGTTTATGCACTGATAAGTTATCACAATTAATAGAATCCGGCACTTCCCAATAAAGAAAATTATGGTAAAGCTATCCCCTCTAACAGGCCGTGGAGGCCCACAGGGTTGTGAGACGTCGATGTTCCCACATTTTCTAGACAATCGCCTCACAGATGGCTGTGAGGTTGTCAGCCTTACGCTCCGGCCGCCCTTTAGCACCGAGGAAGATTCCTAGTATTCATTTCTGTTAGAGGCTGAGTCCACCATAGGGACATAGTGCGTCTGGTAGGATTAGATCAATTGAAAAAATCCAATGACCTCATCGGGACTTGAACCCGCGACCTTAAGGCTTGTAGCATAGTGCCTCAGCTTCGCAATAAATTCAAATGAAGAATACCAAGGACCAGACGGTCAGAACTAATACCACATCTTTCACTTTTGCACGTATGGCCACAACTGTCTTCCGTTTCTCGATTATCGCGATGCGTTGCAAGATTTGTTTTTGAGCGCTCGCAACTCGATGCTGTTGAGCGTGTTTCTAGGTAATGTGTCACATGAGACGAAGTCAGTTGCGACCCAGCTTGGAAAACTCTGTTAGCCAAAGACAATCGCCATCTCTATCAAGTGAGGTCTGGAACATAGCAATAATTCAGTTACCCGGTAACTTTCCTGTGCTCCAAGCATAAGCTCCTCATTACTGCTGCACTATGCTCGCACAATTGTGTTGCGTTTCGTATAATAATAACACGTTTTCTTAAACTGTTATTGCAAGACCATGCCATAACTCTTCCTACAGCAGAGGCCCGGGTTTGACTCCAGGTCAAGTCATGTGGGATTTCTTTTGACGGTCAAAGTGGCACTGTGGAAGGTTCTATCCAAGTACTTCAGTTTCCCCTGCCAATTCTCATGCCACCAGCTGCTCCACATTCATTGCGCATCCTATCAACGCTATGTAGTTTCGGCAGCGTCGTTAGAAAAGAACTCCCTAGCTACCCTCCCGTAACTCCCTTTTCAAGTGTCCACCTCTGCTCCCTGTAAACAACTGCCCTCTCTTTGCAAGTCCCCCAGTGGGCATAAAACAAAACCAGAAAATAACAAGAGAAAGCCGAGGGTCGTGCCCGGCATCTGTCCTACACACGCAGTTTTCGAGATGCCCATAAACTTGTTTAGGTTTTCAAGACACACGAGCCGGGAACCCAAGACCCCTCCTGGCCGGTCTCGCACAATGTCAGTTCATGGGTTTATGGCACCAGGAGCAAACAGGCGACATTAGGCAATTTAGTGGCACCCTAAGCCTAAGGAGGACAATAGCTGAAGTACAACTGGACGGTCCCGGGCTGGTATCTCGCCGGAGGAGCGTCTCTCGTGGTGTTAATGCCTAAATTGTTCATTCCCTTAATTAAATAATTTTGGCGAGGGACGTGCGGTTACAGCTATCCCTGTAACAGGCCATGAAGGCCCATAGGGTTGTGAGACGTTGAGGGTCCCACATTATCTAGATAATGGGCTCACAGTCGGCGGTGAGGTTTTCAGCCTTAAGGGCCGGCCGCGCTTTACTCCTGGTACTCATTTCTGTTAGAGGCTGAGTGAACCCCAGGGCCATAGTGCGGCTGGTAGGATTAGGTCAATTGAAAAAAAAAATCAATGACTTTATTGGGACCTGAACACGCGACCTTCTGGCGTCTCCATCCAGGGGAAATCATTTTAGTAGTGTCGTTAAATAAGCAACATAAAAGGATTGTTTCAGTTTACGTTCTTAAGAACTTCCACAGATTATTAATATAATACTAAAATGTACATCAAGGTAAAAGGTAAAGATGTCCCTGTGCTCAACGAATTAAGCACTACACCATGAAGACGTATGGGGGCACCTCGGCACTAACTGGAGGTGAGTGGTCAGCTTCACGCCCCTGCCGCTTTACTCCCCCAGGGGAAAGAACCCCCGGTACGCATTTGAAAGGAGGTTGGGTGGACCCCAGAGCCGGTCTGGAAGATTTGGAGAGGAGAAAATTCTTGAACCTACCGGGACTCGAACTCCGACCCCTCAGTCGCTATACTGAGTATACTGACCCCGGCTCCTACTAAACTGTACATACATGTAAATATACATACACTTCCCGAAACAAGGGCTTCCTATGTAGTAAACACTCGCTAATCCGGAGTAATTGGAGGGGGTGATCATCCGGATTAGTGAAGCAGAAGGTGGCCCAAACAGACAAAAGCAAACTTAGGATGCAAAAAATGGAAACTAATTATGTAAGTGCTGATGAAAATAAATAACAAAATATCACTGTAGATCCTTTATTTAAGAATAAGACAATATTGTCACATGATACAGTTAGTGTCGACGGGGTTTTGGATCGTTTCCCGGTAACG